ACGGGGCTGGGCGGGACGACGGGCGCAGGGCACGGCGCGGAGCAGGTGGAGAGCATGGAGCCGGTGAGGGACCGGGTCATCAGGGTCACCTTCAACGCGGACGTGCATTCCAGCATCCAGTGGAACTTCAGACCCCAGCAGAGGGAGATCTACGTGAGTGACTTGGCGTTCCCCCGCGCCCAGAACCGCTGGTGAAAGCCACAGGTTTTACCTCATGCGTTCTTGTCACCCTGCGGCCCGGTCCTGCAGGTCCGTCGAATTCGGGACACGATATGGAAACACCCAGAGCTGGGGGCACGTTAGTCCAGGGCGCTTCCGCGGTACTTCCGCGGCGGAATTCTGTCTAGGTGCTGGTGGGAAGGCAGCGGTGACGCTCCTGCTGCCGGAGGGCAAAGCTTTTATAGCTTCTTGGGGTGCAGTTCAAGTGTAGCAGCTCCCCTGCCATCCCATCCCGCTACCAAAAAAGGAGTGCTGTTAACAGTGTATAAACATAGACACGTGGGGTTTTGCCGGCTTCCCCCCCCTGTACTTTCTCTTCTTACCCTATCATTGTAGGACTGTTCATAGGTTGGTTTGTTTGTGTGTTAATTTTTTTTTTGGGTTGTTTGTTTTGTTAATGTTTTAAATCCAACTTTACTATATGAAATCAGTTCTTAAGAACTCTCAAAAGGAGTCATGCTTCTTAATTGGTTTCTGAGTCCAGTATTGAAAGAATGATAATCTGAAAAATTAAATGTATACTGCTTAAATTGCCTATTAAAAAAAAAGCTCTCTATGCTGCTAAACTGCTGAGGATAATCAGTGTCTCAGTGGCAAACTGGCTGAGGTTAAAAACACACACCTATAACATGACTGATGCTTTTGATTTTGAATGGAGGTGAATTGCCTGTGAGGAAAATATTTGTGAAGTAACCAATTTTAAACAGCAAGAGAGTAAATTAACTATTTCTAGCTAAAGTCTGAATAGCTGTTTTGAGGTTTAAAGCTGCATGGGCTTAAAAAAAATAAATCACTGTACAATTCCTTCATACAGGTGGTACCAGGAGAGACTGCACTAGCATTTTATAAAGCGAAAAATCCTACAGACAAACCAGTAATTGGCATCTCCACCTACAATGTAATACCCTTTGAAGCAGGACAGTATTTCAATAAAATACAAGTAAGTGTGGACAAAGCAAAGGTTACATTTTCC